ATATATATTTATTTTTTTTAATGCATAGCGATTTTCTTCCTTTTTTAAAATATTTTTTAATTTATTTTTTTTTTGCCCCCGTTGCAAACCTGAGCTCGGTCCCTGCTTTCCCGTGCAGTTTTCCTTCCTTAGATGTTGGCACTGTGGAGCGGTCAGACGGCGTCAGCAGGCGATCTCCTCCAGCGTTCCCAGGGTGGCCTGCAGCGGCACGTTCACAGTGTGGCTGATGGTTTCCGGATGATTTGGCATGGGGTCGCAAGTGCTCTGCGGACGGAGAGCGGGGGACGGTTACCCCGGGGCCGCCGGATGCTCCCTGTCCCCCCCAGCCGCCATCGCCTTTCTTTGGCCGAGCCACAGCATCAATCCTCTGGAAATAACTCAAGCCGGGGCCGAACGCTGCACCCGTATCGAGCGACTTCGCCTGCCTACAGAGCCGACCGCAGGGAAATCTCCTCCTCTCTCCCACTGGGGCTCCTTACCACATTTTCATCATGGCTCCCTTCCTCTTCCTCCTTTCCGAGTAGGTCTAATAACTTCTCCTTGATCAGCTGCAAAAGAGGGAGGTTGGGTGAAGGTGGGCAGGAACAGGCAAGACATCTGCCCTGCCCGCGTGGGGCATCCTCCCCCAGCGGCGCTGGGTCCACAGCCCCAGGGGATGCGCGGGGCTTGGAGGACACCCTCCAAAGGATATGGATGAGGACACAATCTTTCCGAGAAAACCACCCTGTATGTCAAAACTGAATTCTTCACATAGAAAAAAAAAACCCCAAACTCAAAATTTTAAAGTGTATTTGGGAGTTTATTGAAAAATGTCAGCTAGGTGAGCGCCGTTCCCCTTTGCTGCCACATTATTTCCTTGGCAGCCGCTGCTGCTTGAAGAATATATTTTCAAGGGAAATCCCAGAAAGGTTGAAAGTGAGAGTGTTTTTCTGAACAACTTCCACTGGAGGAAAAGAAAAAAAACAGAAGCAAGCTAAAAACTTGAAAAATTGGGTCAGTTCCTAAGGAAGTGAGGTGGATGCTGGCTGGCAGGCAGTGACGTGTGGTGGGGATTTGGGATCCCGACGATCCCAGGAGCATAACTCTGCCCTGAGGCAGGACCAAGAGAAGGATTGCGCTGAGCGAATGATGCAGAAAAAACATCTCTAGAGTCAATATTTCACAGAATCACAGAAACACTAGGTTGGAAAGGACCTTCAAGATCATCAAGTCCAACCATTAATCCAGCGCCACCATGTCCCCTAGACCATGTCCTGAAGCGCCACGTCCACACGTTTCTTGAACACTTCCAGAGATGGCGACTCCACCACCTCCCTGGGCAGCCTGTTCCAATGCCTGACCACTCTCTCAGTGAAGAAATTTTTCCTAATATCCAATCTAAACCTCCCCTGGCACAACTTGAGGCCGTTTCCTCTCGTCCTGTCGCTGGTTATTTGGGAAAAGAGACCAACCCCCACCTCACCACAACCCCCTTTCAGGCAGTTGCAGAGAGCGATGAGGGCTCCCCTCAGCCTCCTCTTCTCCAGACTGAACACCCCCAGTTCCCTCAGCCGCTCCTCGTAAGACTTGTGCTCCAGACCTCTCACCAGCTTCGTTGCCCTTCTCTGGACACACTCCAGCACCTCAACGTCCTTCTTGGAGTGAGGGGCCCAACACTGAACACAGGATTCAAGGTGCAGCCTCACCAGTGCCGAGTACAGGGGCACAATCACTTCCCTACTTTCATCCCATTTTGGCTAAGCGATATTGTAGCTGTTTGCTGGCAATCTCAAGAGTTGACAAATGCTTTGGTTGAATGCAGTTGAGTTTTACGTGTGTTGAACCCCACCTCAATGAAACCCTGAGCAGACTGAATCAACCACATCGATTAGGCACTAAGACATTTTGTTCCTTATCTCCTTGGTTGGTGTGGGTTAAGTATCTCTCACGGGTTACCAGGAAGATGACCCCTGCATGGGGCATGGCTGGGTGAACCTGCTCGTTCAGCCCCAGGTATGCATGGGGAGCCTCTCCAAGGAAATAAGCTGCTCTCTTAAAGCATGCTTGCCCAAAAAGAAGGAAAAAAAAAAAAAAACCCAGCAAAAGGAAACTATTTGTCAAGTTTTATAAGCAGATATCAAAGAAAGTAGTAAACACAGAGAAGAAAAACTCAAACTTTCTGAGGTTTCTTAGTACCTTCTTATGAAAGAACCCCAAGAAAGCTGGAAACAGGTGATTTTAATGAAGTCTTGTGTGCATTCAGCCTGAGATACAAACTGAGGTGCAGGTTTTGTTTGCACTCTGAAGCCATTAAGAGCTTTATACTTGTGATTTTCAATATATTTTATTGCAGAATAATGCCACCAAGTGCTAACAGCTGCCCAGAAGGGACTGTGATGGGGAGCGATTGTCTTAAAACATAAAGCCAGCAGCCCAACTTTAATAACATTAAGAGGTTTTTCAAGATGCCCCAGTGAGCTCAGAGGAGAGACCGTGGTTGCCCGACATCCCTGTGCACCCACCTGGCTTGGCATACATTAATGCAACAGCCTCCAACAACCCCTGCCTGCAATATCCCATGGGATTAAAAATCCCTGGTCCCATCATGATACGGGCTGCGACAGGGCTATGAAAGTGCTGGACTACGCAGGTCTGAGATGTTGCATATTTGGGTGCAAAGCACCCAAAGCCATTGCATCAAAACCACCAGGCAATGAGTAGATGAGCTGAATTAGCAGGAGGCACCTTCCCAGGGACAAGGGCAAAGGATCTTGAGCTGGGATGTGCCAAATTTGCTGGGAACTGCCTGTCTCCATAGGTGTGTGCATCCTCCTTCCAAGCCATAAATTCATTCTTTCCTGCTATAAAACAGGACATGCACTTGCGTGTTCAGATCCCTGGGGTCATCTTGATGCAAACTGGGCACTCCTTAGCAGCTCGCATCCAGCTGCAGCCCCTCTCCCTGCCTCAATTTCCCTTTTTATAAACAAAAATCATGAGCTTGACTCCCACCATGAAGCCTTCTGCAATGTGGTGATGAAGACTGGGAAGAAAAATCAACGGCTGGCAGGGAGGATGCTCCAGGGAGGGTTGTTTTGGACTGTGGCCCATTTAGGTGAGAAAATGGAGTGGAATAGGTCCAAAAGGCAGCTGGAATCTGCCTCTGTGCTCGCAGGGGCAGTGACAGAGGATGCTGGCGGGATGATGCCCGCAGGCAGGCTGTGACAGCATGGGACCACCGAGGCTTGTGTTGGCACGGCGGCACAGAAAAGCCGAAATCCCCTGGGAGATGCTGAGCTGTGCTGCTGGGCTGAGACATCAGCCTTCACTGGGGGAACGCGCTTAGGCAAGAAGCGATTAAAAATATACCGGGGTTGTAACTCTGCTGCTGGAGGGCAGGAGGAGGGAGGGCTGCCAGAAAGCAACGTCCCCTCCGGGCTGCTTATCGCAGTAATTCCCATTAAAGAGGGCTTGCACTTTTTTCCGGAGCAGCTGCTCTTGGCCACTGCAGAGTCATGGGACCACGCTCGAGCTCGTCTCGGTGGCTTCCTAGAGAGCTCCTTGCTCCAGGGCTGCTGGCAGAGCTGCAGAGAGCAGCTACCAGGGACTGGGGCTTTTCCACCCCCGGCAGTGGTACAAGGTCTGGCCTTGCTGCTTCTCCTGCCTGATGGCTGGACTGGGACTCAGGCATTAATTAAAGGTGTGTTTAAGAGAAGATGGTAACGGAATGCTGCTGGGAGAAGCCCAGCTGGGGACAGGGCAAGGAGGGCGCCGCAGGAGGTCCCCAGCCAGCACCCTGGAGCCATGGCACCCTGAGCAGTGCGAGCTCCGGGGTGGGAAGCAGCACAGCCACATGAAGGTGGTGCTTAATTAGCCCAAGAGAGAAGCAAACCTCGTTAGCAGAGGCAGGGTGCCAAGTAAACCCGGCTATGCCATGCCGTGGCTGCACGCCAGCCTCCTGTGGAGAGCCCCTACTCATTTGGCACCGATGCAGGGACCCCCGACTATATAGCGCAATCAAAGAGCATTAATTATCCAGTACCATTAATTATAACATTAATTATCCATGTGTGCACACTGGGCATGGAGGGTCCTGGTCCATGACCACCCCAGCCTGGCATGAAGGCTGGCAAACCCACACCCACAAGAGGAATAAGGTGAAGGGCGAGGGTCTTACCTCGTATATATAATCGAAGAGCTCCAGTATAGTGAGGATGCTAGCACCGATAAATAGCCCCATCTGGCCTCCAATGTCACCTAGGAGAGAGAACAACACGTGGATGCTTTTTGCCCCTGGGGTAAATGCTCTTAGAGGCACCCGTGCAACCGTGGTGCAACTGCCCTGGGTGCTGCTGTCCCCAAAGAGCGAGGAAATGCAAGGGATGACCCCCAGAAACACCAACAGCTCTAATGGCATGAAAAGCATTCCAGGAAGGACGTTGCTGGCCACCAAAGCATTTCTCCTGCTAACGAGGCCATCAGCTGTAAGCCTAATGAGGATGCGATACCGCACGCTGGCATTCAAGGACACCATCTGTCAGACAGCAAGCTTCATCCCAGGAATCCCAAAGCCCAGTTCCCAAACTGGCTGGGGGAAGGAGAAAGATGCTGGAGAAGAACTGGGTAATGTCTCCTGGAGCTGAGAAAAAACCCCGAACCTTCCAAAGGGAGTAAAGGGAGAGGGAAGATGGCCTGATTTTTTTGGGAAGCATCTCAAGGCTGTCCTCTGCTCGAGTCCTACAATCCCTCAGGGCTGGGGAAGGGCTGCGGAGGAGGCACCATAGGGAGAGGAGACTTCCAGGGATCTGCCAGGAAGATGACTCCTGATGTGAGATGCTGTGCTGTACCAAACTGTGTACTTCAGGGAAGAAAAACCTCATGGATTTTGCTGCAAAACACCAATGGTTCAACTGTGTTGCTCCCTAGAGCAAAGGTACCTGTGGGTGGAGGGGCCACCAGGACCTTTGCTGTGGGTGTCCATGAGAGACAGACAGGAAAGAGGAAAAAAGGTGCCTGGGGGCAAACTGCTAGTTCAAAAGGTGCTGAGGGCTGGGGGAAGGTGAGACTTTTCCCAAAGCCCACAGTGCCCTGGGAATGAGGGTCATGCAAGGCTGTGCAAATAAGGAGGCTTATGTCGAAGTGGCTTCATCACCAGCCTCCTCTTCCTTCCTGTAGAACTCTTGGGGAACCCACAGGAGGTGCAGAAGGCTCGTGGCATGTTGTTCTGCAGAGCTACCACCGCGGGGTGATGTGGGGACACCCAATGGGATGTGGGGTGCCCTGCTTCCCGCAGCATCCCCCATCCTGGGGCAGGCTTGCAGCGTCTGGCCCCGCGGGATGGCCCAGCTCCAGCTTTCAAACGACGGTGCTGATCGCTCCCTGCACCCCAGCTGGGATTTGGGGCTTGGAGGTGGCACATGGGGGAGCTGAACAGCTGAGCATGGGCACAGAGCGTGCTTGCTTCTCCTGACCAAACACCTCCACCCCCAAAGCCAGCAGGTCCCAAGCACCTAAATCTGTAGGTGGTACCCACAAAGCCCGACCCAGGTTAAGGCTGAGCAACCCAACAACTCTTCCACCTTCTCCATCAAGCTGCGGGGCACCACCCAAAGGCAAAGAGCTCAGTGTCCTGGCTGGAAAAGGGAATAGATTTGGAGCATGTAAGAGGTGATGGGTACATGGTTTTAAGAGCTGTCCTCCACACGCTGCCCTTCCAGCATGGGGAGCACCACAGAGAGCATCCATCACCCACTCAGCCCTGGAATTTCCAAATAATAGGGCCCTGGTAGCAAGCAGAGCTGGAGCAACGCACGTTAACCTTTTGCAGGTGGCACGTGGACTACCTGTGGTCCCTGGGACATTCCTGAGACAGCTTGGTGTTGGAAGGAACATAAGAGATGGGACTGAAAGCGTGCTGGCCAGGAAGGTGTCTGGACCTTGCTGGGATTTTCAGGGCACATAAGCTGTGCACCCACTCGTAGCAGCTGCCCCATAAACATGCAAGGACTCCAGCACAGGCTCACACAGACTCCAAAACACCACCACCCCTGATCTCTCCTTACCAAGTAAGGCTGCCACTTCATAGGCTTTCTTCTGCTCAATTGTCTCATAGTTGAGTGCTTCAAAAAATATGTCCAGCACAAGAATATTCTCTCTGTAGAAAGAGGACAATAGCATCAGCCCATCAGCCAGCAGCAGCCTCATGTGCTTTGGAGAAGAAAAGAAAATGGGACTTTGGGACTCTATTCCCCTCTCTATCCTGACTGTTCTCTTTCTGGGGTCCTCAGCAACCCACAGACACTTGGACCCCCTGGAGACCAAGGCCATAGGGCACTGTTTAGGACTTTGGCAGCCTTAGCAGAAGCTGGAAAATGTTTCCCCAAGATCTCTCAGGATCTGAGCTCTGGATCTCACTTCGATGACAACAGCAAGAGTCCGAAAGATGCTTAATATGGAGTAACTCTTGCTGCCTCCACAAGGCAATAATGTGCCCAGGGCTGGGAAAGGTCAAAGACAGTGGCTGCCTGAGGTCCACAGCCCAGACTTAAGTAGAGAGCAGCCACATCTCAGACAGGGCCTGCAAGACTGGGCTTCCCCGTCAAAATAAGAAGAGAATTATTTTTTTGGTGGATACGGGGTATGCTCATGGAGACAAGGCCAGGGGAGGACTATACAGTTATCCTGAAACATGTCTACAGAGATGAAAGCAACCTACACCTCATCTCTTCGAGGTGGAGATAAAACCTCCCTGGAGGACATACCTCTGTTCAGTGATGGATGCATTGGCAAGGTCTGGTCTTACCATGGGCTAAAGCATGGTCTAAACTACCAGCAGGGTTTTACAGACACTTTCCCACAAAAGGCAACGGAGATCTGTTTTCTGCAACACTCACGAGATATATTTTTCCGACTTGTTGAACTTCTTCTCCAGGTACTTGGCTGAAGTCTTGCTGGGGATCTTGACCATGGAGAGCTCTTTGTTGTACCTGGTCAGGTTACAGGGTGTCCTGCAGATGCAGTAATTGCTGTCCTTTTCAGCAAGCAAACCTGGAAAAGGTCACAGAGTTAGATCTCATGGAGTCAGGGACACACAGCAGACGTGGGAGAAAGGCCAAGCAGTCACATCTCAGAAGAGCTGCAGGAAACCCAGTCCTGGCCATTTCTCTCCTAATTCATTGCATGGCCATCCCCACCATCTTGGAAAGAGGCCCTTTGCTGGAGGCTATACTCTGTTACCAGCATCTGCTTTGGGGTACACGTGGTGCTCATCCCATGCTGGTAACACGCCACCCCTTCCTCTCACGTGTCTGATCCTGCGAACAGCACTCAGCCCTGGGAGTCTCCTAAATCCAGACCCAGAATGGGTCCCTCCTTCCCAAACCCAGACCTAGAGGTTCTCCCCTCCTACATATCCTGGGGTGCCCATTATCCTGAGGGTTTCTGCACTGATGGAGCCCCATGCACCATGTAGAACCAGAAAAACATTATCCCAGGGTGCACCCAGCCCTTCCCAGCAAGTTGGGTCCCACCAAAACCCACTGCTGGGTTGCAGCTGCCCTACGTCACCCCAGTCCTGCCAGCCAGGAGGACGTAGGCTGCTGCAAGTCCCCCCAGCTTGGGACACCCGTGGTACCCAGGGATACCTCTTGGTACTCACCGAGCGCAGGCTCTGCGCATTCTTTATACTGCTCCGGGGTACAGAAGGGAGCATCCCCTGCAGGGAAAGGACACATCCATCAGTGGGCATCAGCCACCGTCCTGCAAGGGAGCTGGGGACCACGGGGCTCTCCGCAGGGAGCACAAGGACCTCCCTTTAGCAAAGTGAACCCACCATCTGCCCCACCTCTGCCTGCCCTGGGGCCTCCTACTGCAAACTGAGGAGGGGGCTGCTGGAAATACCACTCAGGCTATTAACTGGGGTTAAACAAGGGCAAATCAGACCCGTGTCCCTCTGCCCCTTCCTGCTCCTTGAAATAGGGCATTTTGCAAAGGCTATCAGCACCCTTCTCTCCTTAGGGAGAGGTACTCCCAGCCCCTTTACTCCCTGGTCCCTTTCCAGCTCATTAACCCCTAGTGGCCCAGGCTGGGTGGAGGGAGCGGGTCCCCACGCCGCCGGCGCACTGACCTGGCATGTGAACCATTCTGCAGTTGCAGTTTTCCACAATATACCGGGTCTCGCAGTCGATCCTGCAAGCCGTGATGCTGTAAACGGGAAAGAAGTCTAAGCCCATATCCGACGAGCGACATTCACCCCACGGCGGAGGCAGGTACGTCAACTGCAAGAGAGGGAGGAGCGGGGTGTCAGGGGACGTCGGGGACTGGCAGCGAGGAGTGGGGTGCAGCATCGCCCTCCTCTTGCCACAGAGGAGCCCCCAGAGCGCAATTTTAATGACGTTTCTAGGGAGGGGACTAAGCAGTCCTGTTGCAAGGGAAGGCCACAGCATGACTCTTGCCAAGTGAGGGCCTTTAGCAAGCTCTTCTGCTCCAGAGCCGCTCCCCGCCATCCCTCCAGCCCAGCCTCTCCAGGAGCAGAGCCACAGCAGGATGGTACGTTGCAGGTGTGCAGCACCAGAGGTTCTCCAACACCAGCTCCGTGGTCTTTCTTACACCGTTGGGAAAATCCTGCCCATGCAGGGACTGAAGGGGAGGCTCCCACCTGCAAATCGTCTCCGACTTTGGCGAGAGCAAACGTGGGGTTGTTGGCACCGGTGTGTCGGCAGGTCCCGTCTCCGACTTACTCTAACCCCCGAGCTGCACCACTATGTGCCTCTCACGGGGACAACGCAGACAGCGCTGGTGATGTCGAGGAGCAGAAAGTGGTGGCAGTGAGGTCCTGGCAATGGCTCTGATTGCTCCAGCGTGAGCAAAGCTGCCACGTTTGCACCGTGTCTTTCTCCAGGCACTTTTCTTGTTTATAAAAAATGCGGCAGATCACAACCCTCAGAGAGGGCCAGGGACATTGGAAGCACATGGAAAGGACCAAGAACAGTTCAGCAACCAAAGACTGTTGCAGAAGGTGAAAAATGGCAAGGAAAGGGTGTATCGGTGCCATAAGGAACCTCCAAACCTTCATGCTCCCCATGGAGGGGTGACTCTACTCAGAGCAGTGCTACCACGGGAGATGGTGCTGGGCTGCAGCCTCGGAGAGGCAGGCAAGTCAAATCATGTCCTTTTCTGGACACCCAAGCTCAGGGAGAGCCCCGTGGAGCTAGATACACATTATCCACTCTCCTGGCACCCCACGATGATGAGGAACCTGTCATCTTCGCCCCTGTTTGCACACCACCTTGCGTGAGGCTCCTAAGTTGCTCCGCTCAGTGCTGGTGCAAGGCAAACCCTTCTGCTGTTACTGCTTTCTTTAATACAAATGCAAAGATAAGATAAGCAGGACTCCACAGTCCAGCACAGAAACCTTAACTCAGAGCCCAGAACATGCTGGAGGACAAAACAGTCACTCTCTGGCCCTCACGACCAAATCTACCTTGTTCCTCTTCTGTCTGCAGCTTGGCAGCCTTTCCTGTTTCTCTTTATCTTTGCTAAATTCTCTGCACTACTCTTTGCTAGAGCAGAAGATAGCATTCCCCTAACCCCTCCTTCTTAGTGTTTTCAAGCAGAATCCAGTTTGCTGTGCTTCGGTCCAAACACAGAACGTTTTGTGCTGCAAAGCATGTTGGCTGAACAAAAACATTCCTTTAAAAACTGTAGTAATATTAATCACATCCTAAAATAAATATGTAAACATATGTTGATGGACTATGAGCCTAGGACCTAGTGGCAAGACTCTGCGGTGCTTGTTTGGGGTCTCTTCTGGAGATGTTTGGGAAAAGGAGAAGAAAAGAAGATGACCCACAAAGTGGATGCACATTGCAGATGCTGTTGGATGAAAAACCACCCCATGAATCCTTCAGGCATGGACCTGGGGTATCTACGACAAAAATTCCACAGCGTGAGGTGTTTGGAGCCCACGCTCTGCTCTAGGTCTTCCCCAGGAGATCTCCTGCAAGAGCAGAGCTCCAGCTCTCCAGCGCATCCTGTAAGAAGATACCTCGTGCACCAGCTTGCAGTACTGGGATGCTGATAAATCTCCCCATGGCTTTGACTTATGAACCACTCAGTAGTTAAAAACCCATAATGGGCTTAAATTACAGCCAGGAAGAGAAAGAAGAGATGTTGGGATGAACATGTCTTGCGCTGAGGACAGCTGGGTATGGGAACAGCCTGCCTTGGAGGGGCATGAAACCTGGAAGCTGAAGGAGAGTTTGGGGAAGGTGCCAGGCTTCAGAGAGGGTGATCCTGCCCTCTGGGCTGGACACACTCTCAACTCAGCCAAGCCAAAGTAATTCCTTCTCTAGGAACAATTTTGTCAGAAACAGTTCCCATCCAAGAATCCAGAGATGCTTTGGTTATTCCAGCACTTTGCTTGCTGCATTTATGGGCACTATACTGGCTCCCAGTAACTTCTGTCTCTAACAGGTTGGTGCAGATTTTTTGGGACCAGCCGGACCCATGGACACGGCAGCCCTGTAGCACATCCATCTTCCAGATGAGCCACAGGTTCTCCCCACGATGAGATCGTTGTTCAAGGTCTTCCCTTGCATGACCCCAAGGACAGACCCGAGAACAGCTCAGATTCTGCCCACACAAGGGTGAAGGGTGTCTCCACGTGATGGTGACGGTGAACCCCTCTTTGGCTCTGTCTCCCCCACCAGCCAGGGAAGGAGGGAATCGCCAACCCCCTTCCCCTGCTCCTGCGAGCATCATCCCTGGTCTCAGGTGCCGATGAGACACAAAGCTTCGCAGCGACGTTCAGCTGCGCGGTCTGCTCAGCACCTCTGCGTCCTGGCGCGCACGCGCCAAGGAACAGGACGCCACGCGTGCCGGAGCCGGCATCGCCCGTGGGTGCCCACGCTGCTCGCGGTGGGACGGGAGCTCTGGCGTTCCCCGAATCTGCCTCAATCCACGCTGCTGCTCAGGCTGCTTCGAAAAGCAACAGCGGCGAGAGCTGTTCGGCGGCCCGGAGCGACACGCGCCCATCTCTGTGCTCCGCAGACATGACCTAAGAGCAGACAAGATCCACATCAGGTGTGAAGACGCAGCAGGTGACGGAGGGATCCCACCAGCTGAGGCGTTAAGGGAAAAACGCCGGTTCCCAGCAATCTCCGCATCCTCCAGGAAGCAGACCCAGCTCTGAACGGGAGGAGTTTGGAAGTCAGCAAAGCAGCACCTTGGAATGAAAGTATCGAGAGCGTCTTTGTGACAATAGCGAAGTGCTGTTTGAAGGGGATCTTTTCTCATTTGCTTTACACTTGCACTGTAATAGAGCACCAGATGCCATCATTTAGTCATCCGTGGTGGAGAAAGGGGCCCATATGTTGCACGTTGTACGATAAAAGAGAATAAATAATTGCGGCCTCAGATGGAATCGGCTCTCTTCCGAGCACAGCTACACGCAAATCTTTTAAGCTCTTTAAATTTTATTCTGAATGTCGGTGACGGGATCAGAAAATGATGGAGTCATGATCAGATATTTAGCTTACACGCTTTTTTGCGCAGCTAGCGTTGGATTTGAGCCACGGTGCTCGTGAACCGGCACCGTGTCTGCAGGAGGTACACGGGCTGAATGGTTAACGAACCCCTAATCGACACACCTTCATTAACAGAGTCATGGCCTGTTCTGTAGCTGGGACCAGGAGCACCCACTACCCCTCCACCGCGAAGCCAACCCTGTGCACACTCACGCAGACAATTCACCTTTTTTTGGCTTCCTAAAAATGCAGGAAGAGCTGCAGCAAATCCCCCGCCACACGCCCAGGCTTCTGCTCTCCCCACCGCCCTCCGAACTGCTGAGACTTAAGAGCAGAAAAAGCCTCTCGGTGCGTTTAACACCAGTGGAAGTTTTTTTGCTCTGCAGCGTTTCCCTGTTTTGGAGAAAAGCCCGTTGTGCCTGGGACCCACAGGAGACTCCAGGAAAGCTCCAGTTTTTCCTTTTTAAAGGAAATTTCCCCCGTGAAACCCCTGCCCACGGAGCAGAGCCCTGTGGGGGTGCGACACAGACACCTCGGTGCTGCCTTGTTTTATATTAATCCCTACCTCTTACGTCCTACAACACAGCGCAGGACTTCTCGCTGCTGGCC